GAGCATTTTTATTCTCCTTTTAATTTAAACTAAATTGGCGCCAACCTAGTGAAGAAACAAAGCCCTGCCACATATAGATGTGGGATGATTGTACTAATTCAGGAGACTTCCACAAGAGGGTGCACTGCTTCAACCATGTATAGAAACCCAATGAGAATGTCCCCATTGCATACATTTTCTGTCATTTTATGTATTAATTCATGTATCTAAATCAGCTTTAAAGCTGAATAGATGCTTTCTCCAGTTGAATGTCCCAGTTTGTCTCCCCAGACTGTAATATGAATGGATACCTTTTTCTTTGTGGGTAAGCAAGGAAGTTCAACTAGGCACTAAGGGCATGTCTCCAAGGAGTGCTGTTTATACTCATGAAAAGCATTAGGTTCCAGTCACAACATGCTATTTATGCCCTTGTTTTCTTTTCAGCATACTCAAAAGTATTGCATGTTATTAATTCAGGGACAATCTCCTGCACATGTTCAATACATGCTATTCAAGAATAAGGGCTGTTGTCTAAGTTTTGAAGCATCATTAATTTGCTTTTTCAAACTGGTACAGCTTCAGGTGATAGAGCTGCAGACAAAAGCCTCCAGCAAGAACAGCAACTTCATGGGAGACTCTTGACTTGTACAACTGATATCTGTTTCTATTTTGTGCTAAAATTACTTGTTGTCTTGTAATATAGACAGGAACTCTTAACAAAACTTACGCTTAAAATGTACTAAAAATACTAAAATGTTTTGCTGGATGTGTAGACCAAAGTGCTGTGTCCCTTCCTTTGAGACTGCAGTGCTGAGATAATAAGATATCTCTTCAGAAATGATTAACTGTAAGACACTTACCAGGAAAATGACCCTTTTTTTTTGAATTGCACCGTCTAAGTGTATGAATCATCCCTTATAGAGATAATTTTATCTGATGGTCAGCAGAATAACTGAAAGCATGGTGATGATCATATGTGCTTTACAGGATTCTTTTCCCCTGTGAAAAGCTGGTTTTACCAAACTTGCAGCGTCTATTAAGTAAGAGAAACAGAGAATGGTGTGTTTTTAAAACTTCTGATTTCCAGTACAAGTTATTAAAATAAGGTGAAATTGAGTCAAATATGTTTATATATATATTTATTATTGCTATCTGCAAATATGAAAGTTGGGCCTAGATGCAAAATATGTCATTTACAGATAGTAATGAATGTGGTGAGTCCACAGCCCTGGCACCTCTGAGCAAAGTTGGGTTCCAGCTGCTGCCTTGGGCTGCAGGATGAAGCATTTGCTGCTCCCTGAAGGCTCTCCGTCTGATGTAGAGCAATGCATGTATCAACCCGGCCAACCTTTGGTCATTCCTGAGCATTTCTAGGCTTTAATTTAATAGGGTGTTTCATCTCAACATGTTTGGACTTCGCAATCAATTTCTCTCCCTGTTTTGGTAAGTGAGATGCAGCCACTAGGTGTCACTCCAGCAAAGGCTACTGGGTTACAGGTGCTGAACCTTCACTGCCCTCCTCTTTTTCATTCTTTTTCAGTGAAAGCTGGCTTGCATTATTTCACCTCCATATAAACACATTGAGTACTCTTTTTAGTTCTGAAAAACAACAACAACAACAACCCATAATTATAATAGCTGGTTCTGGAATTAACAGGATCAATAGAAATGTACTCAAAGTCAAAATGCCTTGTTTGTACAACTTGTAAGAAAGGAAAAAGGCATTTGCCTCTCATAGCTTAAGTCTGTTGGCAGAGGATGTGATGAAAAATGGACTATTACACAGTTCCTGCAAAAAAGAAGAGTCCACACATCTCAGTAATGGAAAACTGATCAGAAATTTCCTTTTTCCTTCTGTTAATTTAAAAAAATATATATGATAATAATAATCTGCATCACTGACATTTCTTTTTCCTTGGTATTTGAATAACTTGACTTACTGGCACATGTCTGTGACAGAACAAAGATAGGCTTGAGATTTAGTTTGAAGGCAATTAGCAGATTTCCACAAGGACTGGTATGGGCAGGAACTGTCTATTTAGGTATTTTTTAGGCATTACAATAAAAATTAGCTGTACAATTGAATTGAGTTTCGTACTGATTTTCATATAATAAATGTACATCTTTTGCTCTGTGCCATTAAACATTAATAGATTGGCATCAATTTAGCTGTATAAAGGCAGAAATCTACTGTTTCTACTAACAAAAATGTATGCTAACTGTAGTCAATTTTGTATGCAAATACTAATGTTTAAGAACAGTTCTTTCATCTTATTTTCAACGTTTGTGCATGCTGCTGCACAGCAAAGAAAGGAGTGTATACACTGCTATGCTTAGTTGGACATTGGAGTGCTGAATGGCTGATCCAGTATGTCAGGTGCTGCAGTATGAGACAAGGGACCTGTGTCCTTCCCATTGTCAGTAGCTTGTTGCTTAACTTGCCTATGATTCATTCTGTATTTTTGCTTAGCTGTTAGAGCAGATAAGAGTGTAATATTAATGAAAAAGCCCAGAACAACAGATTTCAGTGTTTTATCTAGCATTAGTACATACTGATTTCTTTACCTGTAGGTAGTGGAAAATTAGTGTTGTAAACCATTTTTAGTAGAAAATTGATGTAGTGGTTGGTTATGTAGGAGAAAAGATAAAGAAGTTGTTGGAGGAAACTCGGGTACCTCTGAAGTCAACCTGATTCTTTTCTCCTTCTTTTCATTTGTTGTGTAAAGCAGAGTGGATTGTTTGTATTGTGCATGCGCAGAATATGCTGGGATGGTATTTCTAAGCATCTTGCTCAGAAGACTTGTCTTTCCTTGAAATTCATAAAGGCCACCTAACCACAATATTGTAAGTAATCTTAAAATAAGGTAACTTCCAGCCAACTCACCTTTCTGTAAACTTGAATTTCAGTCTTGCGAATTCTGTGAGTAGCAAAGATCTCAGCACGATAGCAGTGGTTTTGTGAGTACTGACTTATCATGCTATCAGTGAAAAGAGATCTTGCAGCACTGGCTGTTTTGCACGATGACCTTGATTCACCTTTTCTGGAAACAGCTGCCTTACTTTCTGAAAGGCTGTGCTGGGGACTCCCAGGAAGGTATGTGCCCCATAGCACCACATAACTACTCTTTCCAGTAGTTTCAGTGGTCACCTGCACCACAGTGGAAAAAACAAAAGTGTAAATGTGTTGGAAATTTTTTTGACAGATTAGATATGTAGTTTAGGCAGGGAAGTAACTTCACTGCATTCACTTTTTTGCTGGTTATAAAGTACCAGGAGGAAAAGATTTTAAAATATGTTGCTCCATACATTGGTTTTGCTCCCACCCATTTATTTATTTATTTATTTTTACTATTGCTTCAAAAACAATTTCCTATGAAAAGCTATTTGAAAAGTCATAGAATCACAGAGTGGCCTGGATTGAAAAGGACCACAGTGATCATCTAGTTCCAACCCTCCTGCTATGTGCAGGGTCACCAACCACCAGGCCAAGCTGCCCAGAGCCACATCCAGTTGTTTCTCAGCAGTTCTTCCATACTACATACCTTCAGGGGAGCACTCTGTTGGAGCAGCCTAACCAAGGTTGTGAACAGCCGGTTTGTGAGGTGGAGGCATCCGAGGACATGTGGAATACAGTGAGTGGTGAGAGCTCAGACTTGAATTGCTGGGCCTCTCTAATAATTGGGTTATGTGGGAGCCCTTGTCTGATTTGAAGCAGTGGGATATGCCGCTCCTAAACTTGCTGGCGTGGAGGGAAGTTGTGAAAGACAATGAAGAATATAATAGCTTTCTTCTTTGCTGCTTTATCTGACAGAAATACACTGAGCTAAAACTTAAAGAGCTTATGGCAGTGCCTATTCCTCCCTCTTCTGCTCTCTTACTTTAAAATGCTCAAAGCAACTGAGTAAGCGAGATGTCCTTGGGATGTGTGGCTTCTGAGGAACTGAGAAGGTACAGCACAGCTTCTGTGGGCCTTGTTCTGCAGCATCCTTCATTTCCATCAATGTGTGCTGACTTCATGGTTAGCATCAGAAATGGGCAGTTGATGTAAGGCAGTGTGTTTTTATGAAGCTAAAAATGTCCATTGTGCAAGGACTCGGGTTGAAAAGGAGGGCCTTGTTTTTTTCAGTGGGCTGAAAGCCACTTTATGAACCTTTAAGTGAAGACATTTTGCTTCTTAGCAAATAGGTGATGTGTGCCTCCTGACAGCTATGTTATCTGCAAGTCACAGTTGTAAATGACTGCATTCACTTCAATGCACTCTACCATTTGAGAGAAATAATGAAAGCTCTTGCTTAAAATTTAAACATGTATTTAAAAATGAGGTCACGCTTTCCTGGTGGTCACGGTTGCTTGCTTTATGCATTTGGGTGGGATAGCCTCAGAAACAGCTTCGTGATCTGCTGCCGTGCCGTGATCTGTTTCCTTTAATTATACATTTGCATGGAGAAAGATTGCAGCCTCCTCCTGTCTTGGTGCCATCCTCCCGCCCTCCGCAGTGGGAGTTGTGCGTATCGTGGCGTGTTGTTCAGCCGGGTGCGTTATTTATATCTCATGCATGAAATCAGCCATTCCAAACAGATAATTTCTGCCCCTGTAATAGAAAACAAGAAGCAAGCGTGCATCCAGTTCTCTCTCACAGGGTGAGGGTATGACGCATTGCCAGTCACTGCGCTTACTAAACTCTCGCTGTGCCCGGGCAGTGCAGGGCTGTGCCTGCCTGATGTTTCAGACACTCAGGGCTCAATTAGGGCTGAAAATTTGTTTCCAGCTCCTGTAGGTACAGATGCCTGCTTTCCTCAGCCTCTGTTGTGTCACTCTGTGAGCAGTCAGCTCTGACTGTGTGGAGCTGAGTGCTGTAATTTCTTTGTAGCACTGGCGCATTATAAGTGCATCTGTGCAGCATTTTCCAAATGGACTTAATTCCTGATGTCACCTTATGAGCTGACAGCTTCTTTCCAGATGCCTGTGTTCTTTGGATACTTAATGCTACAAAGTTGTTGAGCATGTATGTACAAAAGGAATGGAGGTCTGGCTTTATTGAAGAGAAAAGCACCATGGCAAACACCGTGATAGGTGTTCCATCGCCATCCATTTGAGCGTCATTTAGCTCTCTTTCCCCTGCTGAAGGTGGATCTGTGTGGTCAGGTCAGTGGTGCTAAGGAGCTGTGAGGCTGTATGAGCATAGGGCACATCCTGCTGCCATGCAGCAAGCAGAACGGGCTGCCTCAGCCTACAGCACCCGCAGCTGGGCTGCCCCGTGCACTCACACACGCACAGCCGCCTGGCGGAAGATGACAGCATGCTGCTGGCTTTTGGACAAAGGAAAGTTAGCTACACTCGTAACGCCTTCCATCTCTATGCTGCGCTGTGTAAATAGACAGGAACTCACTCCAGTTCATTACGATCGCTTTTGCAGCACGTCCCTTGAAGCGGTGGGTGGGCCGGGCCCGGGTGCCGCAGCTCTGCGCTGGAGCGGTGCAGAGTTAGGCTCAGGATGGGGGGTATAGTGCACATCATCTCTCAGTCACGAAGGAGTGCTCTTAGAGCGAGCCAAACTAGGAAGTTCGGTAAGGTCGGGAGCTCCGGTTGGTTTTAGTGCGGGCTGTTGGTTCCGAGGCGGTAACGGGGGGGGCTGGCAGCAGCCGGCAGTTCTGTTCCGGAGCCTCGCCGAGCCGCCCGGGGCGGGCCCCTTCCCGACACAGGCGGTGCCCAGCTCCGCCCCGCGCAGCTGCCCTCGGGAAGCGCTATTTAAGTGTGCGGGCCGAGCGGGCGCGGGGCAGAGGAGCGGAGCGGAGCTGCGGAGCGCTGTCGGGGCTGCCATGCGCCTGCCCGGAGCCCGCGCCGCTGCACGGCTCGCCGCCTGCACGGCCCGCCGCCCGCCTGCTGCTGCTCCGAGCGGTCGCTCTGTGGCTGGGAGCGCTGTTAACAGCGGCCGACCGTAGCAGCCTGCTTTTTTTTTTGCTTTTTTTTCTTTCTTTTTTAAATTTTGTTCTTATTTTTTTTTTTTTTCCTTGCCCTCTGCAGCAGGCTGGTTGTGCACACAGGACCTGCGGTCCGTCGGTAGGTTGGGGAGCAGTTCGGTGTGCAGTGTGTTGGGGTCGGTCGGTGTCCCTTACTTGACTCTGGGAGCTTCGCGTTGGCTTTCTTCAGCGAGGGGGGGGGAGGGAGGGAGTGCGGCTCGTGGCAGCGCTTATGGCTGATATCTCATACCGGGAGATCTTTTTCTGTTGAAATACATTGTGCAAATATAGCGTTGCGCTTGGCGGTTGCTGAGGTTGTTTCTAAATAGCATCGAATGAACGATGTAAAAACGCTGAAATAGAAACACCAGTGAGTTCTGCTGTTCAGTATGCCCACTCCTTTCTATTTTTGGAGCTGCTGGGGGATTCTGCTCTGTGCAGCTAGGCAGTTCTGTAAGGGTGAAACATGAACAGCAAAGTAGTCAACTGAGCGCTAACAGTACAGGAGCAGCACAGAGATAGAACTGGAGAGCTGCCCAGGCTCTTACCTCGCACAGCAGGGGCTGCCGAGCCGGGCAGGGCTTGGGGTTGCATGAAGGCTGAGGGTACTGCCGGTGGCTTAGGAAGCCCGTTGCCCACTGTAGCTGGGGAGGAGTAAGAGAGATCCCAATAATTTGCAAGCTTGCTTTTCCTGGCAGACAAATACACTGATTGCTTTAAGTTTAAAAATAGGAATGAGTAGTCCAACTGCTTTCTTTTTCCTGGCGGTCTTGGCAGTGCTGTTTCCCAGGGCGAAAGCCTCTTAGATGAACGTTCCAAAATAAGGAAGACTTGGTGAGAGAATTTCCAGAGTGGATCCTTGGTAGTAAGAAATGATGGCCAGATCTTATCTGGTTCTGAGATTTTGGTTTGAAATGAGAAGTGACTTTGCTTGGATTGCATTTACCATGAAGTAATCCCTAATGGGTTCCACTCCAAGCTCTGAGGTGACGGGCATGGAGGGTTTAATTAAATGTAATCAAATATTGCTAGATTGCTGATTAAAAGGCATGCAGCTTGCTTTCTGGTGACTTAAGAGACATACCACTCGTTTATACGTTAGGAAAAAAATTAGTTTTCATCTTAGGGCTAATTGAATTTGTCTCTGTTGGTGAGTAAGCATCAGCCTTAGTTTCTGTCCCTGCCCAGCCTGAGCTCTGCTTGGCGAGGTGGGAGGAGAGTGGTGTGTCACTGCAGGGTGACCGGGTGCAGTGTGCTGTGAGTCAGGAGCCGGGTGTGTGAGTGGGGGGAGCGGCCAGCCCTGGGCAGTTCTCAGGTGTGCGAGTGAGGGAGATGTGAAACTGAGCAATGCAGAGCTCACTTTTGTGCAATATGATGAGCTAAAGTGCTGTTTATTATTAAGCATCGTTGCAGGAAGGAAAGAATCACACCATCCCCCTTTCCTGCCCCCCCTCTGGGGACTGTGTGTGCGTGCCTGAGTGTCTCTGAGATTTCATGTGAGAAGACGATGAGTGTGTGTTTGGGATTAATTAGCCTGAGTTTAGCTGGTTTCATGCTTTACGTGCCTAGGGGCTACCCGCAGTCACAGAGAGGGGAGGAGTTTGCCGTTGCTGGCTTGAAATCCTCTCCAGGGGTGATCTTGTTCATGTCAACCATGAGCAATTAGAGAGATTAACTGTCTTGTTTTCCTTTCTGCCCTAGATTGATCCTGGTGAGGCTCTGGGACATTTGAAAGTGATTTGGAGAGCAAAGACTGTGATGGACACCGAAGCAAAGCCAGCGTGTATTGCGCCGCAGGCTCACTGCCCAGGAATGAAGCGCCCTCCTTCAGAGGACTTTCCTCCTCAGATAAGACTGTCTGAAAAGATTCCACCAGCGAAGCCTTGCTTCAAGAAGAAACAGCAAGTGCAGAAGAGACTGGACACGCAAACTCTCCGGGCTTTGCGGCCAATCTTTACCAGTTTGCTGGGATCTGGGACCTTGGATAGAGTTTTTGTGCCTCGAGGACAAGGAGGGGATCATGGTGATTTGTGTGAACCTGCTGTGAAAAAGGCTCTGGAACTCAGTACTTCTTGTCCCCAGCCAGAAAGTAATGTGACTGTGCTGGTTCCAACAGCTCCAGACATGCAGAGTCAATTGCTGGGAGCTCATCCTGTACCTGGGCATCCTGAGCAGGAGGTGCAGTCAGGAGAGCAAAGCTTCTCATCAGAAACTGCTCCTGGAACTGCTGCTGACACTAGTAATGAATCGTTCCAGGATCGCCCTTTGCACCCATCTTCTAGTGATGGTGCTGCATGTCCTTTGTTCCCAAGCAAGCTTCTGGAAAGCTACACAACTGGCTTATTCCAAGAGAATAGCTGTCCGATGCAATACACTCTAAACTCAAGCAATAAATTCAGTGCTGGAATATTCCAGGATAAAAGTGAGGAAGCTTCACTTGATCTGGTATTTGAGCTTTTGAACCAGCTGCAATATCACACCCATCAGGAAGATGGAATAGAAATCTGTGTTGATTTTCTCCAGGGCGCTTGTGTTTATGGCAATGATTGTCCAAAACATCACACGGTGTTGCCCTATCACTGGCAGGTGAGAAGGACAGCAACCCAGAGTTGGCAGAGCGTGAGCAATGATTCCCAGGAGCATCTGGAAAGACTGTACTGCAACCCTGACAATGATAGGATCAAAGTGAAGTATCGGTAGGTGATGGATTAGGTTAATTATTTGCAAATCCAAGGGTGCTTCGCCAAGCAGTGGTGCAGAAATATGACAGAATGTGCATTCTTTGTTCTGGTATTTTGTGTACAAGGGTTTTCCAAACCCTATCGTGATGTTGCCTTGATATTTAAGAAGTTTGCCACAGACAGAAAATGATTCCATGCCTGTTAAAACTGATGTTTAGCAATTGGGAAGTGTTCTCTGAAGCAGAAGAAATAAGAAAACATTTTGGCAGAGACTGTTGTGCAACACTGTACTTGTTCTTTATGTTCCCAGTGAGTCTCTTCTCTATATTAGAAAACGTAGCGGTGTGAATGAGCCTTTGCAGTGATTGAAACAGGAGTGGTACTGCAGTGCTTTCTGTCACAGTGACTCTAGGCTGACTGTATGCACTCTGAATGGTCTTCATAATGACATGCTAAGTAACTGAACTTATATTGGTACTGCATTAAGTTTCTATGGCAGGAAGATTGAAACTTGATGATCCTTGGGGTCCCTTCCAACCCAATCCATTCTGTGATTCTTTGTGAGACTTCCATGTGGTTGATAACAGGGTGAGGTTTCAGCTGATTCAGTAAGAACCACATAAGTAGCGCATTCAGAAATGCTGATCCAGTTAAGTGTTGTGATCCAAGAATGCTGAACTGTATTAGAAGTTCTTATTTCCTCTGCACATAGTACTATTTTCTAATCTCAGAAAGGGAGTAGATAACCAGGGAAACATAAAAGATGTTTGCTATCGATTTAGACTTAATCCTGCACCCCGAGATCAAAACCAAAACTACTTAATCTTTTATAACACAGGTTTCCTTTTGAATAGTAGTAGGGAGTGCTGACATTTACGAATTCATCAGGTCTACGTAGTCTATGTTATGTGAGTTCAGGGTATAGACTTGAGTTCCGAATACTTTCTTTTTCTAGGGGAAATAACAACACACAGTTCTCATCCCTCGTCTGCACCTGCTGCACTCTGTAAGCCCAGTGCAACTTTTTCCAGCGGCAGTTGAAATTCAAAGTGATGCTTCCATATCTTTGTAGCAGAAACATCAGATTTGTCTTTGCCATCCATGTTCTTGTGGATTTGTTCTTGTTGCCTCTTCTTCCTTGCACTACCACAGAAATATCCTTTCTTCCTTGGTGTGTTAGGGCGGGATTATTTGATTTGCATTTACTATGTAGAGATTTCCAGTTGGGTGTCAGAGACCCAGTGTAATGCACCAAGTGTCCGTGAGCCTTTACATTTACCTAACTGGACATTGGGTTAGGTACCACAACTCAACTTGCAAATTCATCCTTTCTGTCCTGGAAAAAAGATGCCAATCTAATTAAGCATAGAATAAAATCTTGTAACTGTCTAGCAGATAAAATTCACCATATTTTAGAATGTGTGCTTCCATTTTTTTCAATTATTTTAAAAGGTTTCTGTAAACAGAAAACATCAAACAAAGGACTAAGACAAGCTCCTGCAAGCAGTTTAAATTTGAGCTTTGCACAAATAAGCAGAATTGTTTTTCGTTAGCCTCTTTTTTAGCATGTATCCACAGAATCCATCGCTATACCTGTGATCTGCCTGTTCTCAGTGATGGAGTCCTGAATGATTAATCTTAGAAGGAACAGTGCTTCGTAATTGCTTAGTCATCAGATCGCTGCTTGTGAAGCTGGCTGAGCCATGCTGTCCTCCTTTACACTTCTTTTGCAGGTTTCCAGGCTGGTGAGTAGTTTGGCCTCTTGGTACACCGAGTTTCTGTCTGAACTGGTCAGGAAGAAACTCAGAGTTGTTGCCAGACACGTTACGTTCTGTTACCACGGATGAAGTCAGAGAAACAGCACGATCTCGGGCACGGCGGGTGTGCTGGATCAGGGCACAGCTGCTGTGCTGCAGTCAGCCTGGGGTGTGCTGTGAGGCAGGGGCAGCTCCAGTACCCTGAGCTGAAGTGGCTCCTGCTCTTTCTTCTTCCTGCTCTTAGGAGACATTGTGAAGATCGTTGCTTAAGTCGGTGCTGTAACATCGTGTCCTGCTGCAACACAGGAACATTGTTGCAAACTTAGAATATCCTCTCATGGAATGATAAATAGATAAGTTCTGTAACTCTTGCATGTTCCATCCCTTCAGAGAGCTTCATGTTTCTGTATAAACATCAGTGAGAACCGGGAAGTGACTCTTTTTTTAAGAGCAGAGCTGCTTACTTCAGACACTGAAGCAGATATGCCTTAAGACTTAGTGTGGTTTCAAACTAGGTTTTGAGCTGAGGGGAAGTGCTTTTCTGTGCCTTGTGCAAGAGGCAACACAAGTCAGCTCTTGCCTGAAGACCCTGCTCACCTCTTGAGCACTGAGGGTCAGGTGCTGCGTGGCTCCTGGTGTTGCTGGCTGGTGGTCAGTGAACCTGGCTTTGCTTTGTTCGTGGCCATGTTGTGTCTCCTGGCAACAAGATGCAGATAGAGCCTGTTGAACCTTGCTGGGAGACTTGCAAACATGCTGGGACAGCTCATCGTTCACATGGTTACCACATTATTTGGCTAAAGCTATTAATCTCCTGTGGTCAGACTAGCTTTACAGGCCTATCTGTACAGATTGCATGCGACGAGGAAATGTCTGTTCAGCAGTTTGCATGTCCAAGAAAGGCCGTGCAGAAGCCAACTGCTAATAGCCAGTGGGTGATAGTGGTTTTAAATAGGTTTGTATGGCACAATGAGTAGTTATTGCTGTCTGCATGCCTAATATCATCACAGCATGCTGCTCTGATAAAGTTGGGCTGAAAGTGTTGGGATGGTACCTCAGTGGGACGGTAAGCTCCAAATTCAAATAAGATGTTCTCTAAAGAGCTATTCATATTTTTTTTCTTCATGTCCAGTGTTTTGAGGTGAATAACGTAAACATTCAGATATTGCCTTTCACCCAAGGGGGGCATGATCCTAAAGCAGGAAGATGGGAAACCTTGCTCAGTTGCTTCTTTATAACTCAACTGCCTTGGATACTGCATTTGACCTCAGACTGAATGTATAACTTCATCATAAACTGTTTGTAGTTTTGCTCTCTTAAGTCTTACCAAGTATTTATAGCCAAACAGTGAGCTATATACACAGTATATACAGACTTCAGCAGGTTAAAATATTTCCAAGCACTGTTTTCTTCATGTGAGTGAGGAGTGGCCCTGGAGAAGTTCCAGCCTGCAGCCAAGTATTTGAGAGAACAATGCCAAGTGCTGCTTTTCAGCATGAGAGTACCCCAGCTGCGATATTTTAAGATGCTCTTTAGGAAGGGGAAATGTTTGGCACAGAACTCATCAGGTCTTCCCTATGCACATACACCTGTCTAATCATGCATGTGCTGCTTTGCAAAATAAGCAGCCTCGTAACTGATTACATGAGGATTTGTTTAAAACAACTGTGTGGTTCCTGACCCATCAGATCCCCCTCTTTGGCTGAGAATTCCTCCCCCTTCTTGGCAGAGGAGTTGTCCCTGCGTGCTGTGGGAATCGTGGCTTCTGTTCAAACACATGCACCTGGCATGTCCCAACTCACATGAAACAGCAGCTTTTCAGTCTGTCTGTCTGAAATCTGATGCTGATGTGTTGTCCTTTTGCCCCCACCTACGTCTGCCTTTGCTCTAAATAAACCATAAGCCCCACTGTCCGATTGCAGTCTGGCTTCATCACAGGATTAGAACTCTCCAGTGTCATTATGTTGGTGTGAGTTATATGAAGTCGGTCCTGAGAGCCGGAAGACAAAGGAGTGTGCGTGGCTCCAGCCAGGGAGAGGCAGATGGAACTCAGGGGTGTATGTTCTGCCTGTAGGCAGCTGGCTAATAATGGTTCTTGCACACAGAGTAAGGAATAGGTATTCCCCAGCAGGCTTGTCGGTGAGTGTGTGGAGGGACCTGGGAAGGAAAGGTAAGGACAGAAAGAAATGTGCAGGAAATTGTTTTTGTTCTGCTCTTGTTTGCAGTGTGCTCCCCTGATTCTGTTAGAACATTCTTATCCAACTTTAAAGTGATACAGAGCACAGTGTAAGCACGGCGGTTGTCTGAGGACTTCTGCACACAGTGTGACCTATTGAATAGCTAAATTTAGGAAGTTCTTTCTGATCTGCCTAGCTGCCACAGTGTGAGATAACTCATGTGTTACTGATAGCACCAGAGATGAGAAAACATCTGAAATTCACTGTGCCGTGTGACTTTGTGTGGTGTTTCTTGAATAGACACAGCTGAGTGGTTCTGAACTTCTAATTCCCTGCTAGAAGGAATGCAAGACAAGGACTCCAAATAAAAGCATGTGAAGTGATTTTGGAAGTATTTGCTTTGTGTTTTATGCCAGTACATTTCAATGAATTGATTTTTGCCCTACTTTATAGCACCATTTGCATGTGAAATAACATTAATTGGCTTCTAGCTATACGAACTAGGGAAGTCCCGAGTGTCACGTTGAGCCGTCATAGGCATCAGCAGTTGTTTATATCCCTTTTCTTGTTTCATGTCAATAAACAGATTGCAGTTTTGGAAACAGCTGTCACCTGGCTTCAGGTTGAGGTCAGTCTGTTCCGTGTGTACTTGCAGTAATAAAACAGTCCTTTCTGAAAGAAAGATTTATAGCTGTTGAAACAGATTGCCCAGAGGAGTTGCTTACAGGTAATCCAGCAGTCACAGTGCTGCAGCATTGTCTGCCTGCCATTACGTTGGGCTGAGGGACAGAAAGAGGCTGTTAGAATTATTTGCTTAGCGAGAGCAGCGATCACGGAGTTCCTTCCTGGTTGGTACGAGGCTTTGTTGAACCTAGTAGGAATTTGAGCAATAATGACAAAATGTGCTACTTGTAGTGAAATGCACAAAGAAGTGCATCTTGGGATGCTGCATGTGCAGCATGGGATATGAAACATCTGCATGGGGCGTTTGGGAGCTGAGATGTATGGATTTGGTGGTTACTAGTGAGCATGAGGCTTGGCTTTATATGGGCACTTTATGGAAAGCATTGAGGAAATTGATGCA